CAGCAGAGAAGAAAAATAAAAGCACACAACCTCTGCAGACTCAAGCCATGACAGCAAAACTGGTCTTATGACATTCATTTTCTTTACTTATTTCCTTCTGCATTAAAATAATAATAATAATTTTAAAAAAAACAACAAAAAAACAGAATCGATTAATTGGTAAAAACTCTGCATCTTTGTGTCTTTGGTAAAGAATGTATTTTAACATTTCAGTGCCAAAATAACTAACTAAAACCACTAGTTCAATAAAAATATTGTGTTGATGCTTTAGAGTTAGTTTTTCCATTGGCTATTTGTGTCCAGCAGCTTTCGGACATGGCGGAAATTTGTTGCAGCAGAGAAAGAATGTTTCTGGTATAATCATGCTAACTGGCTGGAACATTTGTGTGCGGTCCATTTGTGGTTGTGCATGTGGGGGTCTAACGGGCCTCAGCATATCAGATTGTAACCTTTCTGGGTGTATCCCGTCTCTTGCCAAAATGCCAGCCTGGGACAGCTTCCAGCTCCCCTGGCTCATTGCAGTGATTCATCCATTAATGTGTGTTTTTGTTCTTTGTCAAAGTTTCCTTGATACAATCAAATAATACCCCTTTTTATAGGTTGGCACGGTCTCATGGCGCTGCAGAAGGAGGCGAGCGGTTACTTCACTTCTCTCTTTCTGAGAAAAATCACAACAAACAAGGAAAATATTTTTAAGACATCAGCAAATCAATCTGCTTTAATCAAACCTTGTTGCTACATAATATATAACATTTGAGGCTGCAACAGACTCTTAAGGAGAGAGTAGTATTTACTGAGTGATGGTAATTAAAACACTAGTATTATGACCAGTAACAAGAATTTTTACAATTTCTGTTTTATGAGAACTAATTATGACTATTTATTTGATTAATTTGATGAGAAGTCTTTAAACAAACTTTTGTATCTTGTTTTTTAGGCACAGGTTTTTAAAATTATTACTTCATTTGCATCATTTAAATTAAACAAAACCTTTTAAGATGAAATTTTTTTTTTCTCCCTTTCATTTAGTCAATATTTCCATTTTCTGTGTGGGGCCACTTTCTTCTCACCAGGCAGAGAGAAGCTGGACCACAATCTTTCCCACTTCTTGCTTCCTAGCTGGATATTGCTGCAATAAGTTGAAACAATTGTTCCTTCAACTACTGTTTTGTTTCTTCTGCAATGGGCAAAAATAACACATTCATAACATATCTTTTTTATTTTGTGTTTATTTATCTGGGACCATTTACAGAAGGTGTTGAAATCTAACTTACTCCATCTTACAGTTAAAAAAAACAGACTGTTTGGTTAACTGGTGTCTCTAATTGACCTTAGGTATTAGTGTGTGTGGGTGTGTGTGTGCGTGCATTATTTGACCCCTGTATCTCTGTGCTGCCCTGTAATGGACTGGCAACCTGTCCAGGGTGTACGCAGCCTTTCTCGTCTTCTCACGATGCCTGCCCTGAATCGTTTCGTTCTACTTTGTCTGCAGGGTGCACTCTTTTACTGTACATGGTTTTATTCCTGTCTGTCCTAAGAATGTTTAAACATTTATGAATCCTGAGGCACTTGCACAAACAGCTGTCTTGGTGCATTGTGGCTCAAATTTGTCCTCCATTCATTATTTCTGCCCTACCTCCCACATTGTGAATTCATGAACTTCTACGCTGCCATTTCCAATCACCACTCCAGATGTTTTAGCTGGATTTTTCAGAATGACACTGCGTCAAAATGCTGTAAAGAGTTTCACATTTCATGACTACTGACAGCTTAGAGAGCATAATTTAATTCTGGGAGAATTTAGAGAGGTGCAAAGAAAGTCCTTCAGGCACTCGGTGCGTTTCCTAAAAAGTTTGGCGCACCTTTCAGAATGAATTACGTCGTTCAAGGCCTTGGAAGCTGAGCCTGAGACACAAGACGATCCTTTGTGGGATTTTTAAGAGAAAGGTTAGAAAACCACATGAGTGCTGCCAGTGATTAGAAATGACACAGAGGAAGTCAGATACGGGGTTAGGAAAGTAAAGAGCAAATCAGAGCAAAGTAAATTCACTTTGCTTAATCATGCTGGCTGCTCACGTTCCTCCAGCTCGCTTGGTTGTGGTTAAAGGGGCAACCATCGTCTTAGGTCGTTTAAAGTCAGCAGTTCCTTTGTTAAATGTAGGGAACACTTCACAGTGATGGCAAGAAGGCTGCTGCTTTTACAATCAATTATTCAGCTCTTGAACATTTGCCCCATTTGTGGCCTCTTCTACTGGGTTCCCACGTCTGTTTGTCCGACACACAAGTTTTGTGCAGCTTCTGAGGAATGAGAGCCCTTCACTTCAGAAAGGGCATCAGTCAAAAAGTACCTCAGAAAATGCTTTTAATAGATGGTGCCTGGCAAAGGTATTCATACACTTTCACCCTTTTTTTCAAAACTTTTCATTTAGTGCTTAATTGAAGCCGACACAAAAACGGTGCACAATTCTCAAGTAGGAGAAAAAAAGATATCAAAGCTTGTTTTTAGGACCCTCTGAACTTTTCACAGAGCATTGTAAATCCATCATGAAAAAAATGCAAAGCGACGACGCTACTGCAAATCTGTTAAATTATGGCCTTGAATCAAAACCTACATTAGTGCTGAAGATGTTTTTGTCAACGTCCAGATAGGAAACCAGCTGTGAAGGCAGTAAAATGTAGATGTTTATAGAAAATCTTTATCCTTAAAGCTGCTATCACAGTGAAATGTGTCTTTATAAAGAAACATGATGTCAAAGGATCATTACATCTCATGAACTTTTTTTTTCTCGCAATATCAGATGTGAAAAGTATTAACTTCCGTCACTCGATACCTCTTCGATCTTGCACATGGGTTTATTATTCCAGACAGTGGCTTTCCCCTTAGTTGTGTCTCATTTTGTGCTGCATCATCTATATCACTTAATGAGTCAAAACCAGAGAAGACAGAACAGATTATGTTTAAGAGTTTCAGGCAACCATAAAACCAAAGAGTTTCAAATGGAAAAAAAAAATCCTTCAAACATGTCTTTCCACAAAAGATGCAAAAAAGATGAAATTGGCAGGAAACATCTTTTATCCCTCAACAAGCACGATGTTTAGACGAAATACAATCTTATCTTCAAGGAGAAAAAGATCACTTCAGAGGGTAAAGCACTATTGCCCATTGTCAAGAAGACTTGTGGTCTCTTTTGAATGGAGGAAGCTATTTTCTTCAGTGATGCATAAATATTTACATCAAGAGGTTTTGGAAGGTCTCCTTTAAGAAGACATCCGATATCTTGTTGCCTGTTGGATGCTGCTTCGAAACTACAACTTACTTTTCTGTGGCTCCAGAGGTCTGCTATTTCATGGAAAGTTCTCAAAAAATTTATAACAACTCACATCAACAACCAACAACTCAAAAAAGCGCAAAGCACTTTGTTGCTTGAAGCCCCGAGGGTTCCCAGCAAGTCGTCACACCCGTCTCGTTTCCCACCGTTGGCCTTTCGAACCGTATAAACCATGTATGGGTTTCTTTCCTGCTGCAAACAAGTGCTCCCAGAAGAAGCAGGGCTACGGCAGCATTGATACGTTTAATGGCTCAGTCTCATTCTGCCGTGACCCCTGTGTGCACTTAAAGACTTGCATGTGAATGGGATGCATGTATGAGAGGGGGTTTTAAAGGTACGGCACAACTTAATTAAACCCCTGAGATGGTGACAATGGCGAGGGAGGGGTCAAAGAAGGTCACTGGTTCAGAGGTTTTGGAGGAGAGAGAAATGTCGAGATAGATGTCGTTTTGTCCTTTTTGTTCAAGCACAACTCATGAATTTATGGGATTGTTATTACCTTCGCTAAGCTAGAAGGTAGGACTTCCCTCGTTCACATAATATGAGCTTCACATCATTTTTGCTCACTTTATCTGGACCCTTCCTGTCCCAGTTGAGCATAAGGCATCCATGTGAAAAGTTTGTTTTCAACACTCAACACTGCCTGTGTTTGGTTCCTTGACCATCATGCAACACTTGACAAGCTGTGATTTTTTTCTGCCATAAACTCTATGGCATTTAATTTTGTCTCAACACTGAAAACTAAAGTAAATGTTTTACATGAATATCCAACAACTCTAAATGTGTCTTTCTTTTTATTCTATTCAGAAAAAAAAAAAAAAAAACTTTTATCTTCATTGGCAACTCTCGTAAAGATGCTTCATCTCTTATTGCTGTGCCATGCAATAAAAATATCCAATCGATATTTCATTTTCATTTTCAATGAAAATGAATGTTTTATTGCATTTCAGTTGCCTCGATTTTAAATAAAAGTGTAAAACAACTGGAAAAGAAACAAACAAGGCCAGACAATGACCGAAGGTTACCCAAATACCAGACATGGCAAAGTGATAGAAGAAAAATGAAAATAATAATATCTCTGAAGGTCTTTGTTAGGAAATGACTGCAATCTTTTAAGGTAATTTGGGTTATGATGCTACAACTGAAGCTCTACATTCATCAGATATAGATCAGATGGCTATTTAATTTGCTGAACTATGGAGTACTGGGATGGTGGAGGGTTTAAAAACAACCCAAATATAGAGACCTTGATCCTTGATGCCGATGCAGGTTCGATTCCTGGCCTGGTGACCTTTGAAAGATGTCTTCCCCTTCTCTCGTTACCCATTTTCTAGTCAATTCACAAGCAAATAAACACTGGAGCCAATAAAACCTGTTAAAAAAACCAGTGAAATGTGTTCTAAATTACGTTAAACGTTTCAGAGTAAGTCACCTTTCACCTATTTGATGCAACAATGAACTAATACCCCGGGGCAGAACTGCGCTCTGCGTAAAAAGAAGAGCCAGACTCCAACACACGCCTCTCTCCCTCTCTGTCTCTCTCTTTCTCCCTCTCTCCCTCTCACCCTCTCTCTCTATGTCTCTCACTCTCTCTCTCTCTCTCTCTCTCTCTCTCTCTCTTTCTCCTGTGGGAACTGAGCTGCGGAAGCATTCAGAGCAGAGAGTCAGTGAATCTGGCAGAGCGGCAGTCACTCCGCACAGAGGACCGCGCGCGTCTTCAGTTTGACGCTCCGGGAAGAAACACGTCCTCAAGATCAAACACCTTGACGAGAAGCGTCAAGATAAAAGTCCCTTCGGAGTTTTGACGTTTAGTCTTAAAAAAAATCTCAGCGAGAAGGAGAGGCGCGTCTGTCAGTAATTATGGGATTTACACCTTTCGTCTTCAACCAAGTTGTGGCTGCGCTGCTTGTCACCAGCATCTGCGCGACCAAAATCAACGTGCCGCGCCTGAGACTCTCCCACAAAGGTGAAGCTTTTTCATTCTTACAGAGACGCTCTTCATCGCTTGCGCGCTTTCCTGCAGGTGACACTAATTGGCAGAACTCTCCATCATATAAGGAATATTTCTGCATTGTAGTTTTCTGTAAATGTGTTTTCGTTTCGTTTTTCTTTCTCCTCTCCTTGTGGTGGTTCAAGCTGGAAGCGTTTAATCCGGGTCGCTCATTTGGCTACTGTTTCGGAGGTTTACGTGCTTTTAGCAGGAGAAATTGCTCTGCAGCGCAGTCAGAGGAGGTTCTTTGGCGGAGCTTCACCTCTCTGCGGTGAGAGCCACCCGGGTGCGACCGTCTCATTAAAAGAGTTTATTAGGAGCGGCAACCGCGTCGGAATTCGGAAGCAAGTAACTTTACTGACATTTAAACCGCTTGAAGCTTTGAGAGGCGAAATGACCGGAATGGCTTTCGCGCACAGCTCGTTCACGGACAAAGCTGCTTCATTTTCATGAATAAAATTGGTCTGCTGGATTTTAATGGATGTTTATGAGTAGAAGAAATGTTTGCCCAATAGCGGGTAAACGCCTGCATAAAAGGTGAAGCGATTTTAAAAGTGTACTTTATTAACTAAACAAGTATAAACTAAAAAGAAGGATCTTTTTGTTTTGTTTTGTTTGTTTGGTTTTTTTGATCAAGCTTAGAAATGTTGCTCAATAAGTAACTTTGTTAAATGTTTTCTAACAAGGTGGTAGACCAATCAGGGGCGTATTTAGGAGGACGGGGGCCTTTGGCTGCAGCCAGTGTTGGTGTGTTGGTGTCCCATCCACTTTCTTGTCCACTTGCAGACTGCTGTGGGCTGATGACAAAAGATCGACCTCCAGGTTTTTATCTGTCAAACTAAACTTTGTTTGTATTCACTTTCCTTGAAACTTACTTCTAAACAAATTATCATTTATAGATTCAGATTTTTTTTAGAATTACCATTGTGGTGATTTTGCATAGTCACTGCAACAATGCAAACATACCAGGACAGGTGAAGCTTATGTTTAGAGTCACCTGGCACATTTGATGTTCTTGGGGATTAAAGTTGGGTCAATGGTGTCTTCAAATGCAGGCATATTGACCGTATGGTACCAATATCTAGTGCATATTTGTAATCCTTATAAGAAGTAAACACATTTTAATACCTTAATGCCTTAATGCCATCTTGCTTTAATGTACATAATGTAAACCTTACTCTTAATGTCTTGGGTATAGATGCCTATGCAGTCTGTTTTTGGATAGTTTACATTGTTTTCTTCCCTCTAATCTGACGCAGTTGTTGTCCATGACTCATTCATAGATAATGCTGGTTTAAAAGTGCATAAGTACTGTTGACTGTTGTTGCCAAGTCTGGCTCATTGTTTCATCCAGTTTCACCCGAAGCAGTTCTGCATAAGTTATTGGCCCAAGATATCTCACAGAATTTCCTCCTGTTCAATTTTCAGGAGAAAAGCCACCATCTGAGCTTATTGGTCTTCTCGTACTGCAAATAAACACAGCTCAGTGAATTGGCAAGGAATGAATAGAAGAATTAAGTGTAGGAAGGTAACTTGGATTTTTGTGAATCAAACAACAATTGCTCATTTAAAAGTTACGATATTGTCTCAGTAAATTCTATCTCTCCTTTGGCCTTTGCAAAATCCTGGACTCAGTACCTATTTGTTGAAAGTTACATCAGAGGAAATCTTTGATTTCAAAATACAATTGAGTTTGAAAAAAAAAAGTTGATATCCTCAAAGACTGACTTAGAGAATGAGTTAGTACAGGGTGGGCACTCCAGGTCCTCGAGGGCCGGTCTCCTGCAACTCTTGGTTGTCTCCCTGATCCAACACACCTGAATCCAATAGCTGAATCACCTCCTAAATGCAATCAAGTTCTCCAGAGTCCTGCTAATGACCTCATTATTTGACTCAGGTGTGTTGAAGTAGAGATACATCTAAAGTTGCAGGAAACCGGCCCTCGAGGACCTGGAGTGCCCACCCCTGAGTTAGTATGAGCTTTTCATCAGCATTTTTTGCCTTTGGTATAAGTCTATCAGTGGAACTAATAACTCTTGACATTCAGACTGTAACAAACACTGCAAATAGATACCAGTCATTTCTGTTTATGCAATTCATAAACATGACATTTTTATCATCAAATCAAAGTAATTTCCTCAGCCTGGGCTTTCACTGCTGCTCGCTTGTTAAATGATCTAACCTCATCTCGCCTACTTTTTGTGGTGTGGTTACTGACTGGCGCCACCAGCTGTTTATCTTGGGACACTTAACATCCAGCTTCCAGTGGTCAACCCCCCCTGGACTAGCCAGGACTGACCAAAATCACACATATGAAAAATAGTAAATTGTTTTAAAAATGAAATGTGATATTTTTTTCTTTTTAATTCCAACTAAAGGATGCCTACTGAAGGCTGAAATATACACAACATTTTTATTAATAGAAACTCTAATGAGATTTCTTATCTTAAGCAACCAGGTCCAGTTAAGGCACAAGAAGTTCAGACCTCAGTTCCAGCACTTTGAGGCTCTGCGTTCGCAAAAGCAAATCCTCTTCACACTGAAATGCTTTTTGATAAATTAAACAACTTCATATGTAATTTCTAACTTTCTTACATATGAAAGGGATCTCTCCACTGCCCTGGAGGAGTGTGGGAAGAGCTCTTGCACTGAAGATTCTCATTAGTGACCACACAGCTCTTTGCTTCCTGTCTCATTGACCTTTACTTTGACCTCTCAGTTTGCCCTCCCATGCATTATTCCCCCTAGCGTTTGCTCTCTTCTTCTTTTGTAGCCTTTACGCATAAATCTCCTCCTACCTTCCAGAATTCCTCATCTGTTTTATGAAAGCTTTTTTCTTGATTTCAAACCTTCATTATTTTGCATGTGTTTGTATTCAACTAGTTGCCTCGCACTCAGTTTTAAGTCTCAGAAACACTCAGAGTGTTTGTGCTGCCAGGAGGATGTGGAAGTAATTTAGTGGAAGGAAAAGGCATCATTATCTCATTTCAATCAATTAGTGGGTACAAGTTGAAGCAGGAAGACGAGTGTTTTTTCCACTTAACCGTATGAGTTTATGTGCTTTGTGTCTCTCCTTTGTTGTGATTTACTACATTTTTGACACCTTCAATTTTAGTAAAGCTGGACTTTTATGAAAAAAAAAAAGTTAATGTAGAGGTTTGTTCACATAAAATTTTTTCTGTCATTCCATAAAGACGGCTTTAAATTTTAACTCAATATAAAGCTGATTATGCATAATTTCAATATAATATTGAAATTATTGACATTGCTTGACATTGTTTTTATATGTCAAGCACCTAACTGGATCTCTTTATGCATTTCATGAAATCATATTTGATTATCTCATTTTAATAATGCACCTTTCAGTTTCGCTTCTATTTTCTTTTCCTTTTTTGTTCATTCAAACAGTATCTATGTCTACTTTTTAGCTCACACACAGTCTTAAACACACACATTATGTCCAATACAATATTCACTTTGTCTCACTGAAGGCAGGGGGGAGACAAGGGGAGTACTTGAAAACTCAAAAACTCACATCAGTGTCCTGTTTTTAATCCAACTGCACTGGTTTTCAAAAGGAAGGGGTCTGTTTGTTTTCGCACCCTTTGAATTAATGAGTGTGCTTTCTCAGTTGGCCTTGCTCGAACGGCTTTACCTCTGGGCGTGAGTTGTCCGGCAGCAGGGCTGGGAAAACCGTCACCAGGAGTCAGACGGAGACTCCAGACCTGCAGGAATGCAGGGCGTCTCTTGCCCTGTCATCTTTCAGCTCTTTTCTTTGTCCATTCGCCATCCGTCTTCATCCATCTCTTTTACGCTGTGAATAATGTAACAACTCATTCTCTGCAATCACTCATTGCAGTGTCTGTCTGTCTGCAATTCTCAAGTTCAGCTGACTTATACTTCCAAATCTCTTACATCTCAGACTTGATATAAAATAGTAAAAAATATATAGTGAAAAAAAGCTGGGAGAGTCGACAGCCAAACCCAGGGGCCAACTGGCTTGGTTCAATCTTTTTATTATTATTTTCTTTTTTTGATGTCTCAGCTGTTATAAATTTTGGGAGGAAAGACTCTAGGTCCATTTGAATTTTACCTGATGGGCTGGATCATGGTCAAGTGTATAAAAACATAAATTAGACAATAAGTTGGCAAAAAATCTAAATAATTAAAAAGAAAACAGAATTGTAAAGAAACTCAATGTGTGGTATAGTTTTTCCTTGATTTAAAGCAAAGTGTCCTACTTTGAAAAATAAGTTTATTATTCTTTGAATTTTCAAATGAACATATTGTTTGTAAAATATATTGTTTAATTCTAATTTTGATCCATTGTCTTTTCTTTTTGGCATCACATGGAACAACACCAGTTTAAGTTCTGCAGGAGCAGAAAGGAAATTTCCAGGTCTGAATATGATTTAATTATTACAGAGTTCTGTTGTCACATGAAATTGTAATGATGATGCAATTCCTGCTTTTTACAGCAGGTGGCAGACCAAACATCAGGCCAGTATTAGGCAACCAAAAGTTACCCCCAATAAATAGTGATCTGGTTAAGCATTTGAGCGATAATAAAGGCACAATGAGAGCTTGTTTCAAGGTTGGCTTGGTATATTTTGCAAAGCATTTTCTTGAATGCACAAATGCAGAAAAATGCAGTAAAATATGCATAGGTGTATATTTTGCGTCATCTCCTGATAAAAATGTTTATAGACCCCACTATAGTAAAGAAAAAGTCCAATGTTAAGAATTAATTATGCTTCACAAAATCCCTTGCGCTGCAGATATTCACCACTCAAAGATTTGTATCAAATTAAATGAAGCTAGAAACATTATACTCTGTGTTAAATTTAAAATGTCAATTTAGAATAATGCTACAAGTCTGTTGAAAAATACTTTTCAAAATCAGAAAGGCAAGAAAAAATGGCTTGAAAGTAAAAGAAATCTGTGTTGATTTTCATACATCAGGAAATTGCCAGATA